TGTAAGAAATTCCAATTTCACAAATAAAAGCTCGTAAAACGTTATATCCTATAAGAGCTGTTGGAAAAGTTTGTATGAAGAATATAAAATACCTTTTAAGGAACAAACATTTTTCTGAGCTACTAATAAGCCAGCACATACTTTGGAAGATTTTATATGTTTCTTGGCACTTAAATGATCCAGGTTCATTTGTGCATCCTTATTACCCAAAAATATATTATCTGCACACACTTAGTTGTAAATAAATTGCTAGCACATAAAATATTCCACGGAAATATAGAAATGCCTCTCCATGTGCTATAAATTGCCTACATCATAGGCTGTAATACGGATATTGTATGCTCATTCGCACCAATCATAAAAGCATTATGAGAGTAGAAGGCGAACATAAATAAGAAAAATACGAATTTTCTCGGTCCAAATAAATCGCTTTCCTTGTACTGTTATTTCCACTGCTCTTCAATTGATTACTTTTTCTTATTGTTCTTTGTTGTGTACAGAGTATTACTCAAGGCGTGGACACTCAAAAATATGCTGGGATTATTCGGGATTATTGGGATTATTTGGGATTATTGGGATTATTGGGATTATTGGGATTATTTGGGATTATTTGGGATTATTGGGATTATTGGAAAAAAAATTATTCAAATATTTTGAATTTTTTGCGGAAATGAACTGTAAGAAATATGTTATTCAAAGCCATTGTGACTTGTAAAGTTTAAACAATGTGAAAATATATCATTTTGAAGTGTTTGTTGAGTATTAAAATATAAATTTGATCATATAAATAATTTTCATAGAATTTTGACTGATTTATTTAAACAATCGGTTTTTGGAAATGGATTAGACATTTCCTCAGCGTTTTTAGTTGTAGTTAAGTAATGTCCATTTTAAAACATCAGTCTAAGAAAAGTTTTTGGCTTTATTCCTATTTTTTTGGGGGTTAATGAGCTACTGTACTAAGTTTTTCAGACAAAAACCTCACTTTGAGGAATCTTAAGGTTATTTTGGTAGATTGCTCGTATAAAGTATGTTATAATTTATTATATAATTATTTGTTAAAGTTTTGTTTTTATTAAAATGTCCAGTATTTTCCCAAACAAGTTTTACAAAATGTCCCATGTTTTCGATATTATATACATACTACCAGAGCTCGAAGTCGATAGGGTTCGAGTCGATTCAACTTAAAAATATTAAAATTTCGATTTTAAGCATGCGAAAATATTTAAGCCGGTTAACTTTCTTTTTGTTCTTTCTCTTCCTGAGAAATATATTTTTGAACATAATTCTATTTTTAAGATCATTTTTAAAAAATCAATAGTGTTGTATGTACTAAGTAAATTTTAGGTTTTTAACCTTCACAGTTAAATATATTCAATATAGAATTTTCCTAAGTCATGTCCTTTTTCAAAATGGTGGCTGGTTTTTTTTACCTTAGATCGGAAACTTTTTTAAACAATAACAATGATCTTATTTATCCACTAAAATAAGTCCTGCTGATCTAGATTCAGTTCAACTCAATGATGTTACCAAATCTTATTACGTTAATACGAGTATGATATCCCGTAATCAATTACGGGCATACTTTAGTACTTTCTGTTAAGTATAGTTTTGTTTTTGGATCTTTTAATATTATAAAACTAGTAGACACACAGTTATGCTTTCTCAAAATTCCGGGATCGAAATCGAGATTGAAATTTTTCGGTCAGCGTTTACTGATACAACTACGATTAAAAATCTGTAAAAGTTTAAGTACGATTCATTGAGTGTAACAAAAGATATAGTCAAAAATGTAAAAATTTTAAAATAAGCTCGCCCCTTTTTTGGTGTGGAAATCCAACGTTATATAACATTGGAAATGGTATTAAGAAAACTTTAAATTATAAAGTTTTAAAGTTTTTGATTATTCTATAACGCTGAAGCACTAGATCTCAAAAACTTTTTTTTTTAAAAAAGTCCCTAATTTTTCCCCATATAAACTTGTAATCAGGATTTTCAATTTCGATCTCGATGGCCCGATCCCGGGATTCATCGGGACCGGGAAATGTTGACAATAAATTGAAGATTTAACAAAGTTAGATTTGGTATTCACTGGATCTGTATTATGTATTATTTCTAAATACATCGTTTTAAGTGTTTATTCCAGAGATAGAAGCCGATTTTTTCGGCTTAACTCAATTTTTGATTTTTTTTATAGAAAAATCGGTTAACTTGAAATTCTGAGCTTACTATAGCTACATGCTGACAAAAAAATCATAGTAAAGCATTTAAAATTCAATTTAAATAATTGAAATGGTAAAAAGTCGAAAAAATTGATTTAAACTGAAAAATCCAGCTTCGATATCTGGTTTATCCCCATAAAAGCCAAAAAGTCAATAATTTAACCATAGCTGCCATTATCACCGAGGACGCTACCAGCTTTACTAGATTTGTCGAATCAAAAACCTAGTTTGAAGAATTTTTTTTGAGGAAATATGTATCGTTTGATTGATTTTCGGGATAATACACGATTATTTTGATTAGAACGCATAGTAAATCAATAAAATATAGCATTTAAAAGACATTTTAAATTGATTTTTGTAAATTTTTGACTAGTGCACTAGATTTAGTTGGTAAAAAATCACTTTTTGACGTGTTAAGGCTAGTTCATTACTTTTGGCTAATTTTTTAATTAATATTCTGAACTTAAGATGTATCCAAAGATTTTTGGGGACATTTTTCTTTTCAATACTAGTCAAAATTTTAACATTTAATAAATTTTAAATTTGAAAAATTTTAAAATTATTTTAATAATCCCAATAATCCCAAACCTGGGATTATTGGGATTATTGGGATTATTTGGGATTATTGGGATTATTTGGGATTATTTGGGATTATTGGGATTAATCCCAGTGTCCACGCCTTGGTATTACTGTTTAAACATGCTGCGAAGTAAATTGGATCGTTAATGTAATAGATCATGGACAACGTTCAGTCATTAAATTTATATTCATCCTAATTAATTTATTTGAATCAGTAATCGTTGTTGTATGCTTGCTCGGGTGCCGCATAATTTTAACTGTGAAATTAATGGGGGAAAACTTTTTGTGGCTGTTGGAAAGAAAGTTGAAGGTTTTTTTGAATCATTGAAATCTTACCGCAGCTTTGCTGTGATAAGGTTGGTAACTAGGCAACTGATGAGTGTATAGATGCGCTTACCAGCTTGATATTCCTTACAATTTACAGCTTTTTGCTATTTTTTCTCATGCTGCCGTAGAATATTCCATTCATATTCTGAAAAACGAGGCACTAATTAATTATGTGGGTATATAAGCGGTTACGAAAAATTTTAATTTATATTTATGAAAAACTTAATTTTTCCTTTCGCATTGGTTTTTTCCTTCAGTGAAAAGAAATTAATTTTTGAAACAATGAATTGAAGGATTACAGTCATAATTTATGATTCTAAGAGATCGTTCACTTATGACGTCCGATAGTAACGTTCATTTTTCAAAAGAGAACAATGGATTTCCAGGAATTTCTATTGTTCTTTTTTTGCTGACCCCCCCCCCCCCCCCTCTGGACGTCATAAGCAATGAGGCTTTTTTGCTATCATATTTCAGTAGTGGAGCATTTTTAAAAGTATAAAGGGAGTGTATAACTAGAAATTTTGTAAAATGCCTTAAGATATGTCATACATTGTGTCCACAGCAGCTTACATCCTTTAAAATTATCAAAACTCTTTCTATATTCATAAACTTCCTTTAAAACAAACACTTTACACAAGTTTATTCACTTGCTGTAATTTATTATAATACTTCTTACAAATTACACTGAATAATTTGATCCACACTCTTCCGATGAGTTTGTGCCCTTAAGCACTCGTTCATTTACTTGAACACTTTAGACACATGAACTTTGTTTATTTTCCTCAATTATACTGCAGGGCACTTGTAATAAAAATTATTATCGTTTAAATAAATTACTGGATTATTACATTCATTTCTATTTATTATGATGGATATAAGAGAATGAGATTGATTGTTGGGATTGATACATTGAACTTGAAATGGAAAGATTTTTAAAAGTTCTACAAGAAAGATGGAGAAAAAGATTCACAAAAAAAATTATAAGCATGATAATTTCATGTCAAACGAAGAAAAGTGGTCGAAAAATCACATTTCTTTAATAGACGTCATTTATAAACGACCCCATAAAATATTTTACAAAAGTTTAAATTAGTAGCCATCTGACTGCTTTTGATACTTTTACAGAACTTGCTAATTACAAAATGTTTGTCTCAAAAAATCATTTATTCAAAATTATTCAAGCTAGTACAAAATGGAATCCTTTTAAACAGCAATTAAAATTAATTAATCAGCTTGAGCTTTCATTTTTAATTACAGACAAATGAAAATGGCTGAGATTCGCACTGAAATCATTAATTAAGGTTGACTATGCTTGAGTTCAATGATCTACTCATCATTTTTGTAGCGTAAAAATATTTATAGCTTGGTGGCTCACGTTAAGCATATGTGCTTAATTTAATAACTATAAGTATCGTCTAAACAAATAAGGAAATTATTATTGCTTTTATTGAGAAAACTGTGTGCAACACTTTCAATAAATTTCCTATAAATATAACCAGTCAGTCGATTGAAATGTCTCAGTTAGTTGTAAGCTTTTAATCCTGTGATTTATACATTTGTAATGGCACTTAATAGATTTGCAATAGTTTTTGCTTCGTTAAATTTTGCAATTGGTGGTGCTCAATATTTTCGAAATTTAAATAGGAATGGGATAAAAGGTACCGAAATTTCTAACTCAAGGGATAAATAATTCAGACACTGGCCTAGATTTCATATTTTGTGCATGGAAATTCCTTTAATATTATTTAAAACGTTAAGGAACATCCATGAAATCTCCATAGTCGAATTGTAATTCACTTGAGTCTTTTAAATCACAACATTTATATCATAAAAACAATTCTAAAGATTATTACAGAATCTCCAAAAATCCAGCTCATCAAAATAATATCAACTTCAATTTAAATTCACTTCCAATTTATCATCCTGATCCAGGAAATGGAATTAGAGATTTAAAGCTTAAATGGCCACGTGTTGGAAATAAAATAGTCATTCCATTCATAATTGATCCATCAAGTTTCTACAGTAGAATTCAAAAAGATAAAGTCTATGCAGCTATGAGACACATAAGTGAAAAGACATGCATAAATTTTCGATGGAAAACCAATGAAAGGGATTATTTGATGATTTATTCGGGTAAATGGTGTACATCTTATGTAGGACGTGTTGGTGGAATGCAAAGAGTCTCACTACAGAGAGATGAGACTTGTGGCAATCACATAGGTATGATTGTACACGAGCTAGTTCATGCATTGGGATTTTTACACATGCAAAGTCATGCAGATCGTGATAATTATATCTCAGTTATTAAACAGAATATTAGTCCAGGTGAGGAGTTTCAGTTTGACAAAGTAAATTCATTGAAAGCTACAAATTTTGGCACGCCGTATGATTACTATTCAATTATGCATTATGGGACACATGCATTCAGCAAAAATGGAAGACCAACAATAGTCGCAAAAATTGGAAAATTTAATCAATTTATAGGACAAACAAACAAATTAAGTTTTGGTGATTTGATTAGAATTAGAATGATGTACAATTGTAAATGTTTGGAAGCTGGTTACCAAAATTGTTGATGCTGATTTATTGAGTGCATTCCAATTATTTTTATGTCAATAAATTAAAGGTTTTAAAATTGTGTCACAAAAGTGGAATTAATGATGTAGAAATGAACATGATAATATTTATGATGATGAAAATTGCATAAATAAATATTTGCTTAAATTTGGATCTCATTTGGAAATTACCAGTCATAAAATAATTCAATTGAAAATATGACAATATAAATTCAAACATTAATCAAAATAAAAATTATCTTGTCGTCCTTAATGAGTCGGATCATAATTGGAATGAGCATAAAAGTTGAATGTTAGGAAATAAATTACAGGAATAAGTCAATACTTAAAGGACTTTCATCGATAGCATTCAACGATCAATTTTTTTGGGGATTCGATTGTTAACTTAGAATGTCCATCAAAAAATGGTTTTTTGTTATTGAAATTTTAGTACATCGAATTTAATTTTTGCCCTGGAGTTCCCCGGGTAGGCCCAGAAATGGATCTTCCCCATCCTATAATAAATTATGAACTCGTAATATGAATAGCTTCTTGGCTTATATTTATTATTATTTTTTCACGAATAAATCAAAACTTTTGAATGTATTAATAAACCATTAAATGGAGCCACGATCCCCAATGTAAATAAAAGCAACCTTATGTGTAATCAGCGAAAACAACAACAACAAACAATATTAACAACAACTAGGGAAGATAACAGACTTCTTTTTTGGTAAATAATCAATGTATTTTTGTTGACCTAAATTACATCTGTACCAAATGCTGTAAAAAAACGAGGAGGGAAAAATACCACAAAAAAAGATAAAGAAGACGTCAAGTAAGAAGGGTGGCATATGCATACAGAAAGAAGATTTTCGGGCAAGAGAGCAAGAATTGAATCAATTACGTTCAATTATTCATAGCATAAACTTCTTCTACATACATACAATTATGAGCAGAATCAGCTGGTTACTGTCAACTTGTACGATTCATAATGCAAGATTCTTTTATTCTGTGTATATAAAAATGAGAGACTTAACCTCAATTACACATGCTCATCATCTATAAAGGAGCAACAATATTGCAATCGGATAATTTCTAGTGCTACCTATAATCCCAAAAAAATCTATTTTCATCTACATATGCCATCATTCAGTCTCTGTTCTTTACACAAGACTAAGCCTCTGTATGTATTGACATATGGCGTAGACAAACAAAGGAAGCTTATTGTATCTCCTTAAACGATTCTCATTCACATCCTCTTTTCCTACCACTTCCAATTGTTTACAGTTTGGTACTTAAACAAGCATGATTGTGTCTCGAAATATTTTCAATGAATGACGTTATGAGATTTTCGAGGAACAATGTGGGAGAGTTTATTATGTTAATATATATGCAGCACTATCCTCCCCCTATAAGTTGCGTCATCTTTGTGTCTCCTTTTGTTTTTATTTTTCGCGCTCACATAACCATAATATGTTATGAAAGAAAATAAGTATATACGGTATAGATATCCATTTATTCACGAATGAGTGAGAAACATCAGACAAACTTTTCCATTGCCGGATGCTTAAATGTTATACCATAAAAAAGAAAAAGAGGAAGTTAAGCGAGGGATGAATCTTTTATAAAAAAAAAAGTTTTCCGATTCATGTCATTACATGTGACATCTGGATCCAAAAATAAGAAACGAGAGAGAGAGATGAGGAATAATTTTTTTTTCTACATCTACAATATCTTTGACTTCTGTCGCTTCCTGTTATACTTATAGGATGAAAAGCGTAAATAGCATATATATTTAAATATTGAATGTACATGCTGAACACACACATACAAAGGGAAAGACGATCTTTGCGGCATATTTAATATACATAAATTCCATGCTGTTTAAACGTGATGCTTGTACCTTTATGCAAAGTAATTCCTTTTGTATTCTGTATGTTTTGTGGAATGGTTGTAGATTGACTTGAATGGAAATACGAAAAAACTAAGTCATGCTTGTATGATTTCTTTTTCCTCTCGGATAACGAACAACGACATGAGAATTGAGTAACTAAAGGACAAGATGGCTAAAGCGTAATTTTCCCAGGAACTAAATGTTCTCTTTCATATGTCTAGCATACGGGTACATTATCATACTCACATTATTTCGTAAAATTATGTTAATGGAAGAACTGACAAAAAATTACATGCCTGTCAATCCAAAATACAAATTTACTTTGACTAGATAAATTTCATGCTTTAGACCATCTCAAAAAAAACGAATGCCATTCCAAAAAGAGGCCATTCCACTAAGATGCCATAGGTATTTACCATTTATTCCAAAGAATGCGAGCGTTTTGTGGAAATTCGAGACCTTTTTCATAACACTTTTCACCTTTTTTTTCCTCGGAAAAATGAAATTAGAACTTCTACCTTTTTTCTCGCTTATCTATAAAACAAAATCAGATCAAAGCGAAAATTGGTAATTTAGAATGATTTAAATGTTTCGTGAAAAATGGATGAATATTTTCATTCGCTTTACTTTATCAATTAATTTTCACTTTGTTATAAGCTAAACGTCAGAGTTCATAGCGTGACACTTCCACTTTTTTTGATCAGCCATCGTGTTCTTGTAAAAGGTGAAAAATTAGTCTGTAAAAATAACAGAGGACACACCTTAAAATAGAGAAACTTAGAACGCGATGAAATAATTTTCTTTTTGAGGGTCCGGTAGTGGAGCTATGAAAGGGTGGGGGGCAGTTATATTCTAGTTTTTTAGGACTTTATTCTTTTTACACTCTTCCAGTTACATCCATGAAAGAGACATAAAACCGTTTTTCTGTATCTCTATGGGGTTTTGGATTCGAATTAGAAATGAAAGCTTGTGGATAATACTTCAGAATTTGAAAGCAAGAAGTGAGGCACTTCCATTGTATTCTTAAAAAGTCTCTTCCATTCCATGACCCTCGAAAGCTTCACTTTAAGACACAAAAGAACTCAAGTCGAAAAAGAAAAAGTTTGTAACTTTTTGATCCTCTAGCAAGCTACATAACTGGCACATCTAAGCCACATTTTTCTTCATTTAACATTTGACTTTATCTAAATTGAAAAAAATTCTTTTTATTTATTCCTCAATTTTCTATTTATATCCTTTATTTATGCACAACAAAGAAAAGAAGGGGGGAAAAATCCACATCATGAGGTTAGCAACTCTTTTCCAGCATAGCCTCTTTTTATTTCCATTCCATATTTTACGCTTTATTGCTTTCATTTTGGACAGCATGGAAAGAGAAAAGAGCTTCTAACAAATAAATGAGGAAGAAGAAATGGCAAAAAAAATACTAAAAACGGACGATATGAAAAATAAACAAACTCGCCATTCAGCCGCTTAGGGTATAATAAATTTAATCACGAAAATTGTTGGATATTTGTGTTTGTACTTTTTCCTATTCACATTCTTTTATGCACAAGAAAAATATTGGATTTGAAATCCAAATGAAAAATGAGTGAGAAAGCAAATAATTCACATTGACGTGTGGATTATTTTCAATCATGAGTTTGAAAGTCATTTATTTATATATTACATCAGTAGAACTAGACATGGATGTCCCAAAAGCAATAAAGTTGTCGATGACATAAAATTGTGCACGTGTTTATTCGATGTGCCCCGATTTCCACCTCTAAATTGACACAGGGAAGAAAGATCAGAGGACACAAAAAATGGAAATTAAGTCATGCATAAAGGAATGAAATTAAATGAACGACCCCAAAAAAAAAAAAATCATAAGATCAAGAAGATAAATTCACGTATACTGAGAATAGCTATTAAAATAATCTCAGGATAGATGCTTTTGGCTATTAAAAAGAAAAATTGTCATTTTTATATTAAGCATTCTCAGTTTCTCATAAAACGTTAAGCATCGGTACATAAAGTAATATTAGAAAGTGAGATAATAAGGAAGGCAAGTAAAATTCAATTTTGTCTTGGATGTTCCCTTGTGTCAAGATCTTTATTGAATTAAAAATGCTTGGGTGTAGTTAATTCTAAGGTTTAATTCCTCATTTCCTTGTTTTATGGTTGAGGCAGAGCTTTTGAGTTATGAAGCACTATGAGGAACAAGTGTATGAGTTATTTAAACTTGACTGGATTAAGTCAGATTGCTTTTGTTCCCTTATTTAGTTTATCTGAATCCCCAATACAAGCCATAAATCCTTTAAATCCGATAAATCATTCAACTAGTGCACTTTCATCCTCAATTCCATTAAGATTTCCAATTTTTATTAGCATATCCCCAAAAATTAAAGGGGAGTCATATTTTTCCATCTGAATGAAATCAATTTGATTGTCAAAAACCAAAAGAGAACAGAAAACAGGGGAGAAGATTATTTGTGGATCATCACCATGAATGTTTATCTTCTTCAATTTTTCTTGTTCTCTTTTGGTTCATCACATGCTGTGTAAGATAAAATACTCAAGAGAAATATGTATTTTTGTCTCTATGATGCTTGTCAATATCATCTCAATACTCTTTTCTTTACACGTGTAATAAAAATGACAATCATTTTCTGTTCTGCTTTTGTTGATACGTTCTGTTACTGCGCGCTTTTAGTGATTTCGAGACATCAAAATCATTATTATTGTCGTTATTATTCTTTGTAATCATAATCATCAGTGAGCATATTTCATTACACATCAAGAAATCATCAAAAATATTGCCATGAGCTACATCCTCTCTCCTCATTCACTTTTGTCTCCTTCTCGCTTTATCTACTAATAAATTTGTGTCTTCTTACTCCTACCCAACCATCTTCTTACTTCATTTTTAGCCTGGGAGCTTTTTGTTGATGGTTCAATGGTTCTCAATTTTTTTTATGATTCTGGCGCCTTTTTATTGTCTCCTATGTCGCACGCGAATATTGGATGTTAGGATGCCATACAACTTCTTTTCGGTAGCATGTTTTATCAGAGAGCAAGGTATTTCTTAGCTACAGTTTGCTCTTTCCAGCATCTAATTGACATGTTTATATAGAATGCTATC